CAGGTAAAAATTCCACTATGTCAGCAATGAATAAAGAAAATAGTATTGGGGCCACCACACTTCCCTGTGGCACTCCCAGCTCCAGTTGCGAGGCATCTGAGCAGTGCTTACTAATAGATCCGTCAACTTCGTTGAAACAAATTTGGACAAACTGACTTCTGTCAGAAAGATATGATTCAAAGCATTTGGCTGCAATTCCTCGTATGCCACAAAGCCAAAGTTTTTGTAGCAGTGCTTTATGAGAAATACAGTCAAAGGCCCTACTTAAGTCGCGAAAAATTCCAGCAGGGGAGTTTCTTTTGTCGATCTCGGACAATACATTATCATAAAAGTCAATTGTTGCAGTTGTTGTGGATTTTCTCTTCCGAAAACCGTGCTGCTGGTCTGGTATGAGTCTGTATTTATTGATGAAGGGAGTTAGTCTGTCTAGCATACAATATTCGTTCACCTTTGCAAACGGAGAGAGACCTGATACTGGTCTGTAATTATTAATGTAAGTTTTTTCGTTTTTTTCATGCACTGGAGTTTCCTTTGCTGATTTAAGACAGTTTGGAAATATAACCGATGCAAATGAATGGTTTACTAAATGGGTTAGAATACCTACTATATCTTCACCTAATTCCTTCATTAAAACAGAGGGAATTTCATCTGGATCTGTAGACATTTTATTTTTCAGTTTTGATACAATATGTAACATTTCATCTTCAGTAAATGGCATCAAAGCAATAGAGTTTGTGTTGCTTTTCCCCGAAAAATCAAATTCACCTATTTTTTTGATGGACTTTGCTATGTTCCTAGGTGCTTCAGTAAAAAAAATGTTCATAACCCGAGTATGGTTATAGTTAGGTGAATAGTACCTTATATGAAATCATATTATTTTTACCTGACTTGTAACGAAAGACAGGGTATTTCATTTAAAAAGATACAACTTTGATATGTCACACTTTTTTGAGCCACCCTGCAGATTCCAAAATAATTTCCTTCTGCAGCTTCAATCAATATACATATAATGAAAAGCAGGAATTCCCGAAAAAATTATTGGTTCAGTTTACATTGACCGGGTCGTATGAGATGCCACACCCTGTAAAATTTACCGAAATTCAAAGAATAACAAAAAATAATACTTCATTCAATGACGTTACGTATGTAATTGGCACTTTTCACACACAGTTATCAACAAGATGCAAGAATCGAAACCTGTCATGATTCATAATGTGAAAAAAAAATTCACCAAATATCAATTTGTTGCTAAATGAAAACAACATTGGAAAACGCTTCCATGGTGTAATCAGCTTTTTCGAAAACGGTATTTTCTGTACTCAATTAAAATTTTTTGGGCGAGAAAATATAATTCTAGGACGAGCTGGAGGCAAGCCAAAACAAACTGTTTTCGTGCGTGTTGCGTAAAGTATTTTTTCCGCAACCGTGTGGAACAACAAATCACTGGGACACATGTTTTCATTAAATATTTTTTGTAGAACAAAATTTCGATTCTTATTTGTATTGTGTTCGATTTTTCAGGGTATAATTGTACCGTAGCAGCAGCTGCTGCATCGGAAATTTCATTAGGCTCATTTTTAAACCACGCATGTCAAATACAGGGTGTTTCAAATTCGATCTTCACAATTGGGATCTCGGAAATTATGAGAGATACGAAGATGGTTGAATTGGAGCAAAGTTGCGCCTTTATTTGACTAACAATATGCCGTTGAGAAAGTTCTGAAATTTCGATTATATCCGGAGATATCCGAAAAAAAAAACAGAAAGTTCGGAAAATTGTTTTTATTGTTTCCTGGCTTTATTTTTCGAAGGATTCGAAAATAAATTGCACTTCCACAGTGCCTCTTCTTCCCTGCTACATAATAGTGTTTTCAGATTTGTTATCCGACGTTTCGTCTTCCGGCCACTAGCATTAACTTTATTTTTTTCTTATGGGCGCTACATTGGATTCTTTCTGTTTTGAATGGAACCAGATTATAACTTTTCAAAGATGTATCATAAGTTATCATTATTCTTTGAAAAATTGGAGATATCAGGATATCTGTTCAAGTTTTGTTCAATTGAATAGCCAATGAAAAAATATGGAGACATAATTAACAATCAAAATTTGATAAATGAGGCGTGAATGAAGTAAATTAAACATTGTGTCCTTTTCAATGAAAATAGAACTTTGAACTAATAAAATAATTAACTAAAATGTAAAGACAAAAGTTAATCACAGCAAAGGTTCAAAATGTTGGCCTTGTTCATGATAACACAACTCCGCCCTTCTTCGAATATCATTCACTGCACGATTAATTTCCCTTCTCCTCAATCTTCCGAACTCTCTAACAGTGCTGTTTTGAAGGTACTCGAAATTTTGATATTCCCTCTGACCATAATCTCTATTTTTTAGTGTACCTCATAACAATGTATCTATAACACTTAAGTCTGGAGACCTTGCTGGCCACCTCATCGGCCCATTATTCCCTATCCTTTTATCACCAAACCTTTAATCAGGTAATAAGATACTCGTCTGCTAGTGTGCGGTGGAGCCCCATCATGTTGAAACCAGATGTTGTTATAGTTAGCCAAAGGTAGATTATCCAAATAGTCGTCAAAAATCGACATTTAAAAACTAATGATAGGTTTCTCCTTTCAGAATTCCGTCAAATGAATGAGGTCCCAAAATTCTATCTTTGTAATACTAAATTGCCCTTGAGGTCAAATTTCTCGGAACTGTCTGGGGTTGTTTATGCTCCAAATGTGTTCGTTATTTCGGTTGGATATCCCATAATTCGTGAAAGTGCTTTCATCTGTCCAAATTACATTTTTCAGGAAAACAGGAAAATCAGGTCTTCTCATTAGCCAATTACAAACTTCTAATCGCCTTTCGGGACCACCTGGATGAGTTTTTGAGATATGTGTATTTTGTAACATTTTAAACCGCTTTTTTTGAGATGTTTCCAAATATTCAATACGGAGGAAATTTGACGTGTAGATTTCCCCGGGTTCATGTTTATCTGCAAATTATTTTTTATTGAAAAGGATACAATGTCTAACTTACACTCATACATACCACATTTATGAAAGTTTCTTTAGTTTCCGGGTCCATTCTGTCTCCGTATTTTTTCCTCGGCTTTTCAAATGAACCGAACTCGGTGAGATTTTTATCCAATAACTTGAACATAGTTCGATGTGGTTGTTGTCTTTCGGAATACAAGTTTAAATATATTTCTGATGTCCTAACAGTGTTTGTATCGTATTTGTAATAAATTTGTATCATATCTTTTTTTCTTCATTCGTGAAAGCCATTTTTCGCTAAAAATTCAATGACTTTCACAATAATAAAATGTCATTGAGTGAAACAAATTGAAAGTCAAATTTAGAAACATCAAAGTCAAACCCTATTATGATAAGAATAGTTTTAGTTCTGATATCTCCAATTTTTCGAAAAAAAAATGATAAGTTATGACACATAATTGAAAAGGTAAAATCTGTTTCTATTCAAAAGAGAAAGAATACAATGTAGCGCCCATAAGTCGATGATGGTGGCCGGAAGACGAAACGTTGGATAGCAAATCTGAAAACACCATTATAAAGTAGAAAGAAAGTGGTAATGGGGAAGTGCAATTTATTTTTGAAGTTTTCGAAAAACAAAGCCAGAAAATAATAAAAACCGTTTTTCAAAGTTTCTGTTTTCCCGGATATCTCTGGATATACTCGAAATTTCAGAACTTTCTCAACGGCATATTGTTGGTCAGTTGAATACGCAACTTTGCTTCAATTCAACCATTTTCGTATTCCTCATAGTTTCCGAGATCCCAATGGTGACGATCGAATTTGAAACTCCCTGCAGATATCAGTCTTTATTTCGCTGATATGGTAATGAACAACTGCATTCAATAAAACCATATCCACCAAGATTTCAATATTCACAAGCTGGTCGAATCAGAGAACTTTGTGGTTGGTTGAATACAAATCAAATACAAGCAATTAGGAACTCTTCATCAAACAAACGAGGAACTGCTTTGATTTACGTCTTTATTCGATTTTTTATCAGTGGGATAGCAAAACTCATTACACAAAATTAAAATGTATCTGATCACTGTCTGTATATAGGAGATAATTGAGAAACATTACTATTGTGGGTCTTTATCTAAACATTAGAACTCAAAACCTAAGGTTTTCAGATTTTTTGACTATGCATTCGTATAGGCCAACAATTGTTTGAAAATAAATTAGAGAAATACATTTTTCAGTTCAGTTCTTTTGGCTGAAACTTTTGTTGAATATATTGAGAATTTGTTAAATAATGATTTTTTTATGTCTCAAAGATATGAGGTGAATAAATGAAATCATTTTGCTTTCAGATTACTTGTAACTGTGCAACAAAGGCATACGATTTCTGTAATAAATTCTGGTCCAAGTTTTTTGTGATTTTTCAATCTCCAAACAAATATCGGGGTTTTTTGTAAGTAACTACAGTATGAGACTGAACCATAGGTATGCTATTCCAAAAATTAACAAAACAGTCGAACAACAAAGTTTTATTCACAAAACTGCGGATTATAAATATTGATTTCATTCTATTTTCAAAAGTTTCAGATGTTTATTGTGTTTATTTTTTTCAGTGACTTTTTATTGTCCTAATTATTGTATTGTTTCATTTATACAGAAACTGTGAAACCTAAATGTATATTTTATTCTATTTGATATCTGGATCATAATATTTTTGACCCTTATTGTTTTCCATTGTAATAATCGTTCTGTTTTTTTGTAATTGTTCTGGAATTGCTCTTTACCAAACTCAGGGCTTCACCCTCAACGAAAGTATATTTTACCCTACTCACTTCACTTTATATTTATTTAATATAATTTACTGATGCATGAATCACTACTATTATTATTAACTATTCTGTACTGATCTAATCCATTAGAGAATTGAACACAACAAGACTATTCCACTCCTATTTAGTGATAAAACTTTGTACTCATACGTATATCGGTTGCGGCACGAACAACAATTTCTAGATACATTTTTAAAATTATTAATTTGAAACATTATCTTTCATTTTGTGGTGAATAGTCTCTTGGGATTATTCCAAACGATTCAGTAATATAAACTATGAAACTCTGCAACGAAACAGTCAGAAGTAAGCATTTTAGATTTATGAAACTTTTTGTCACTGTGGTTGGTGTCTGCTCACATTTTGGAGGCGTATTCATTTTCACTTTCAAAGAATATCTGGATAAAGAGAAAGAAATCCATCGGTGTTGTTGATATACATCGACAAGTGAGTAGAAAATATCCAGTTAACTAGTTTATTGATCCAATGATTTTTCTGAAAAAAGGTTGGTTGATCAACAGGATCAATTTTTACTTAAAAAAACAATGAAACGTTTGTTTCATGTCGTTTTGTGTTGGTGTTGTCTCGGAAATTTGGTTGTTGCAATGTTTTTAATTTTTTTTAATATGTATCTGATATGTCTGATGGTTTTTAAAGTAGTAATATTATCAACACGAAAAAACTACTTTTCGAGCCCTGAAAAAGAATTTAATTGAATTCATACGTGACGTATGAAAGGTATGCTTTTGCAAATCAAATGTTGTATAATATTTTTCATATTCGGATTTTATTGGGGAAGTTCTTCAAATGAATGTAGGATTGTATGGTTATTACCGAGTGGTTCAGAAACGGTGATCTGATCCACTCAGATGAAAAGTCTGTTTTGTTATGTGTTGATTAAAATTTTTTCATACTGGGTGAATCAAAACTCAAAACAATTTTTCTTGCCTATCGATAATTGTACAATAAATGATATACAATTACAAATTTTCAATATTTTTAACACAAGTAGTAATTCGATACTGCAATTTTTCAGGTACTTACTCAATTATGATTACCTAGACCATATTATTTAATTCAAAAATGATATTTCTACGAAGACTAGAATAATATCGGTTTCTACATTTTCAGCAATGATGATCCATTCAAATCTAATTCGTCATTCGGTGAACTTTTTGAATTTTCAAGTTCAATAATTTCCATTGTTTGCAAATGATTCAGCTTCTAACCTTCATTTACCATGTGAAAAATTTGGAAATCTCCGTTAAAGATATGATTTTTCTCTGGAATACTATTTGAATATGTTGAACTTGTTTTCTTATTCACATAGCTCATATGATGTTCCTGGATGCGATTCCTGAGTGTTCTGCCGGTTTGACCAATATATACCGCAAGGCAAGTTCCACAATTTAATTCATATAGTTCTGATTTCTCGAATCTCGATGTTTTATCTTCATTATTTTCGATTAACATTCCCAACGGAGAAATATTATAATTTCCATATTTTTTTCGATTTTGTCAATTGAGATAGAAAATTATATTCATGTATCACTGTAACACATCGTTCAAAAGACAAAGAGGGTTGTTCCACCAACTTTTCTGCTGATATACAGGGCTTTTCATGATGAGCGTTGATTAGCCGTTTCTGACAAACTATTGGAATTCTTTGAATGGTTACTCGTCAAGGCTCAAGAGGATGAACATTTCCTCGACAATATAATATGGACAGATGAGGCCAAGTTCACAAAAAATGTTTTCAATAGACACAACAGTCATTATTGGGCGCCACAAAATCCCCATGTTGTCCGCCAAAGGGGTTTTCAAGAAAGATGGCAATTCAATGTATTTTGTGCCATAAAGAATGAGTCAATTTCTCATATCGAGTATTATGATGATAATTTGAATGCATCAAAATATGAAGATTTACTGAGGAATGGAATTCAAATGATTTTAAATAATAGATCAGGAAGATAACGTGTATGGTACCGTGTTAGGAATCACACGTTAAAAGGTAAAACCTCGTTAATCCTTAACTCGCACAAGTTTTGACTTCTGAGGGTTGTCGTTCGTAGGGGTGCGACAGCTGGTTAACGAAAAAACAGATTTTGAACAGACAGATTTGAACAGAAATGGATGGTTCTCCACCCCATAATTCTCATTCAGTCAGCGAAGCTTCAACCGAAATCTTCGAAGACAGATGAATTGGTAATAATGGACCTTTTCGTTGGCCTCCTATAATTTTCAGGTTGAACCGTTAAATAGTTTGTCAGAAACGGCTAATTAACGCTCATCATGAAAAGCCCTGTATAACGTATTGCGTTATGTAATAAGAGAATTATTATCATTATTATTAGTTATACGTATAACGTATTGCCTGTGAATTCAATTGTCAGCTGTCATCTTCGAATGCTGTCCACTGCCTCTTCTTCATCCATATTCTTTCCAATATTGATTGTTTGTAGAAAATTCCGTTACTTTATGGTCAAATCGGCTACGCCGCTACTGTTGAGTAAATTCCGCTACGGTAGCGGAATTGCGCTACGGCTGACAACATGCATTTCTGCCATGTCATTTATAATGCTGAATTTCCGCGTAGTTTCTGTAATGGCGGGTTCATCCGTACTTCTCGCACGAATTGGGTGACTTGGCTTTGATTCGACGCCTTTCAAATCTGTGTGCCAGATATGTTCACTTCACTTTCTGTTGAAGTTCTCTCGGTTATCTGGTGTCTGAGATCAGCAAAAGACATCAGAGATCCACTCAAATCAGGGGGAGTTTAAATTATTCCTTGTAAGTGTGGTAGAGTCTATATCGGTCAGGCGAAAAGGAGCATTGGTACTTGTTGATTGGAACATACCGAGAAGTCTGCAATCGCTGACCATGCATTCTCCGACGGGGAATACAAAATCCTTTTCGAAAATACCGAGAAGCTGGCAACGTCTCATTATTATTCAACAAGAATGTATTCAGAAGCCATAGAAAAACACCAGCACCAAGAAACCTTCCCCAGAAAGGAAAAGGGAACATATCCACCAATGATCTGGCATACAGCTTTGAAAGGCGCCAAAACGAAGCCTAGTCACCCAAATCCCACAAAAAGTACGAGCGAACCCGCCCTTAAAGAAAGTGCGCGGAAAATCAGCACTGTAAATGACATGGCAGAAATGAGAGCTTTAGTTCGTTCGTTGACACGTCAAGTAAAGAACTTTGACCTCGCCACTGAAGATGACTGCCGCTGTTGCAGTTGAAACAGAGATTGTTACCAATGAATATCACGACAAAACCCGCAAACCAAACAAAACATAAAATCAAAATGACTATACACGAGGGTTTAAAGCATCCTGACTGCGACTTCGACATCAAAAATTTTCCATCACTTGCAACAATAATCCCCCATCATTGCTGCATTCCATCTGCCTTGGTAAAGTTGCTCCATTATCGGTATATCTTGGTGGAACCTTTCCTCTTACTCTTCACTGACAACACTCAAATTTTCTGGAAAAAAAATCAAATGGGAGTGCAAGGAATGGATTTTGACAGACATTCGACATGCCATTCTGCAATAGTTTTCAAGTAGTTCTTCTACGAGTGTTTCATAATTTTCTACTTTCTTGTTCTCTAAAAACTACAGAACAATTCTTTTGAAAGAACTCCACGCAGCTAATTCAACATTATTTAAATTTTGATCAAACTGTTGATCACTTAGTAGTTTTCTAATTCGTGGTCCAACAAATATACCTTCCTTGAGCTTTGCAACACCTAATTTCGGAAAAACGTGTTTGAGATATTTGAACGCATCACCTTTATTTGTCTGATGCTTCTACAAAATGTTTCAATAACCCCAGTTCGATGTGTAATGAAGGTAACAGAACGTTTTTGGGATTAACAAGAGGTATTTTTTTCACGTTAGCTAGACTTGGGATATATTTATCTCTCGTAGGTCATTCTTCTACTTGATAATGACTCTGTGTCTTGATAATGACTCTCCTACTATTCCAAAGGCAAAGAAAACAGCAAAACTTCGTAAACCCGCCCTGAAGACCTAGTAATAGTCCTATGACTTTAAGGTCATCACATATTTGCCACTTATACGTATTATAACTTATTGCATTCAAAATAAGTGACATACTTTCGCGTGTTTCCTTCATAGCAACTGCATGTACAAGAGGAATAGAGGGTCTTTTGTTACCATTACGGAGCAGAACGGCTTTTAAACTTGTTTTAGACGAATCAATGCCATTCGTCCGGGTTATATGCATATCCAAATTTTTCCATCACACCATTTGGATTTACACAAACACACAATTTATCCTGCATAGTAAAAAATAAGGAAAGCTCATGGTTACGGTTTCTCAATATTGTAAATTTGGTTTTAGGGGCTAGTAAATTCCATTGATGTAATCTAGACCCTAATAGCTCTCTTTGGACAAGTGGAGATCCCGAACTAGATCATTCAATTCAGGTTGAATGGGGTGTTCTTCCTTCACTCTCGAGAAAATAAGGCCGGTCTTTTTCTGACACATCATGGGAACATTCCTGGTCATCATACATTTCCAAATCTTCCTCCCAATTTGCCGGGGGTGTTGGAACTGGTGAACCTTCTTCATGAAGAAACGTCCTTCTTGCAGAAGGAATATCCAGATATACAATTATGTGTTTGCTCTTTCTTGAAAAACCAGACAAGTTTGTCATGCAAAGGTAACAGTCGTTGTGATGATTTGTTGTTTCTTGCCAAATCATTGGAACTGCAATAAGGTATAGAACAGCGTTTGCAATTTAACCAGTTACTTAGATTTGCTGAACAGGTTTGGCAATATACGTGAGGAGCTCAATCCCGATTTTTATCACCAACAACACATCCAAAATACTTATGGTAAGCTACTTTGGTCATTTGATTAATTGGCCGTTTTTGCGATTAAGGAGTAAACTGACCACATGTATATCAAAAACGTGTTTGCTTACCTTCTCTAATACTAAACTCACCAATACTCGCGTTAAACCAATATTGATGATCTGATTGTCAACCTGCTACTTATTTAGCAGTCCCGTATTTCTGGTATTTTCTGGAAACTTCGAGTATCGGAAGTTTGAGAAGTTCTACAAGTCTCATATTTATACAGCGGGAGTAGATTCAAATACTGGGCAGAGCCGCTGTGTTGCCAGTTTTTTAACAGTTTTCTCAATTCAGGAAAAAGCAAATTTGGAATGTCGTGTTCATAAAAGTTTTGTGAAAAAAATCATTACTCAAAAATCTTACGTGTTAGAAAATTTTTACTATCATTTTCGCATTTAGGGACCAAACATCTGCATTGGCATTACTGTCATGAGTTGGCTGTGAACTAGTGATATTTTTTATTTTTCTGTGTAGAATAACCAACAGTGACTAATGTGATTATTTTTTTCTTTTCCAGTTGGATATCATAACATCATGGCTGCAAGCTTCAATATGACTGATTTAGAAGGCGATCCCTTCCATGATGATTATGAGGACGAATATGTGAGAGGTGCATCCTTGATGAGAGTTCTGGATGTTTCATCCATGATAACGGATTTGATAAAGTTCCTTTTATGCCTATGCGTGATAGCAGCAGATATTTTTCTGATCACCATCATTTGTAAAACAAAAAAACTCAAAACAAAAACAAATAGTTTTATAGTGAATTATGCCATTTTCAATATGATCTCTATAGTGGCTATTCCATTATTCGAAATTCTGAGAGCGATAACACGTTTCAACTTTGGACGATTTTACTGTATTGTGGAACAAATTGAATCGTCAAGTATATTATTTTGTCACATGTTCGGGTTCGGGCTGGCATTCGAATGGTTCTTCGTGGTTTTTTATTCATCTCCAGGAAAATTCTTCAGTAATATTCACAAATATTCCGTATATTTAATCTATGTGATTGGAACAATACAGTTTTTATCAACAGTTCCATTTTGTTTAACAGACGACTGGATTGTTAGACATATGATAGATAGAGTTACTTTTGTTGGAATTTGTGGTTTTCTTGGAGTTTGCAATTATTTTTCATACAAAAGAACTTCTGGTATGGATGATAACAAATATGCTCTCACTGCAGCAAATATTATGGTATTTTTTTGGCTCCCATTGTTTTTATACGATGAACTCTTCATTCACAATGGCAGTAGTATGACGCTTTACTTCATCTTGGAAATCACACTTTTTATACCAGACTGGTTGGCGTATGGTAGCCCTATCATTGTTATTATTTCGTTGGGCAAATCTAATAAATATTTTCAGATGGCTTATTCTAGAGCATTCAAGAGGTCTGTCCGGAAATATGCTAGTGATGAGGATGGTTTGGATGAATCTGAAGACAACACCATCGGTGAAAATGGTACAAATGTTTATGATAACGCTACTCCGATATGAAATCTGTACGTTCAGATAAATTAAATCAAGAATTTAATTCGAAGTTGTTTTAATATTATCAATATATGAGATTTTTTTGTATATGAATATCAATATAATATATTGGAACGGTTATATTTTTAGAAGTGACAAATTTTTTGGCTTTCTACTACCCCATCTTGAAACAATAATTGTGGGAATCTTCCAAAAGAAGGAATTAATCAATTTCGAAAGAGGTAACTCTATACATGCAAAGAAGTAGGTAGGTAGGTAGGTCTAAAGTGAGTGGGTCTATTCCAACCTCCACCGCACCACATAAGGGTTCATTGTTGCTCACAATTATTCACACTCGGCAAAATTAACCCAGCTTCTTAACGAAGCCGATTAGTTTGTATGGTGAGTGGTCTTTCAAGTCAGATGGTGAGAGTACGTCACTGTCAGGTATCCCT